TGAGGGGGGTCCTCTTGGGGGGGATTGTTTCGGAGCTCTCTAAAGGCCTTCCCTCCGGAGAATAGGGTTCATTATTGAGTTCATGCGGTTGAGTATTATAATTGAGGGGGTTTATACTTGAGTTCCGGAGATCGGGTTTTATAATTGAGGGGGGGATCATAATTGCCAAGTTAACATTAGGTCTCTACGTTAGTCTCACTTCGTTTCGGTTGGCACAGCAACATGTCATGTAGCCTTGTCCAAGCTGCTTACATGTTGTGGTACCTTGTGGGCCCTGTCAATGATTCGATAATGAAAGCCCTGTTGGAGCCACCAGCACGTCATTGTCGTGTTTCGAGTTTGGACGCTTGGAGTTTGCTTTGATGTCCGCAAGCATAGAGGCAGCAGGGGCAATGCTTGTTGAATTCCTATTCTCATCCAAGGAACCGCTCCGTGTGGACCCCAGCTCGATTCACAATGAGCTGTCAAATGTGTCAGCGTGATGCAGTGCATAATGCGCAGTGTAAATCCCAGGGTCGGGACTTGGGAATGGCAATGAAGCGCCTCAACTCACGCGTGCTGTGCCCAGATCAAAATGGGCTGTGTCGAGTAGTAAGGCATGAGTGGCAGATAGACATAGCCGTATTGTGTATTTGTTCTAGCTGAATCTAGTGGCAGCCTGTAGCTTCATTTGCGCTGCGAAGAGAGTAGTAGCACCATTTTCTGCAAGGATTCGGGTGCTGCGCGTTCCGACAGCGCCGGCTCGGAGCTGGACGAGGAGCGGAGCCGTGTGTGGAGCTGTTCTCGGCAAGTGACAGCAGGTGCTCACTGTCATTTGGCACAGGAGAACTACACCTCCGACTTGGCTGACCGATTAGCTCCCTGGCTACATGGTGCCTAGGTCTAGGTCATAGCCATCACAGGCAAATCAGAGGCGGTCGATGTTTACAGTGCAGAGCTGCAAGCGCAGGCGGCGATGGAAGCACTCGACAGGTCCGGCTCCGAAGATGAAGAAAGCCTGGACCTCAAGCACAGATCCCCCCGGCCCCACAAAGCACGCAGCTCTGCACAGCTCTTCCCGGAGCTTCGCAACTTCAGGCGCGATTGCGCGGGAGGGGGACTTGCAGGTAGGCACGACAGGGAGTTCAACTCAAAAACCAAGCTTCGGCTGCTCGGGCAGGGTGCATCGCCCAGTTCGCTCTCAGCTCAACGGACAGAGATGCCGATCCCTCGACCTTAAAGACTTGCTGCTGGCATGGCAGGAGCTTAGTGTTGTACCATATCATCGCATCGTGCAGGTCTCCCATGTCCTTTAGCTGTTGCTCTCCGGAGCCAAGCGCTGAGGAAGCACGCCTAGAATGTTTAACGTGGACAGCCCATATTAAGATGAAGCTCTTGACGGTGCAGCTGGCCTTTTCATAACGTTAGCTCAAGAGGTCGGCCCCGTGTCGAGAAGTGATTCAAGCAGCCAGTTCAAAGGCAGTGGGCCTGAAGCAATGGAGCGCAGCCATTAGCTCTCTCTTGCAGGTCAACGCAGTTACGACGAGCTGCCAGAACGTGTGGCGTGTCCTTTGGCAGATGCCGTTGTGCTGGGTAACTGCGACGCACATCTGCACATGTGGTCCCATGCAAGGTGCCTCCAGATTCGCATGCGGGCACAAAGCGATATCGCCGAAGGGCCTGTCGTCCCAGAACTTCCAAAAAACGGCTCGTGGTTTCTCCAGCATGCTGCCCAAGGTGTCAGCATACAGCGACCCGTGGTCCCCTTAGAGCCCCTTTGGTAGTTTGAAGTAAGGCGCAAGCACGGCTAAGTACCTGGCACAAGGCGGACCTATGCAAAAGCCAAAGGCCTTCAGTGGGCAGCATGTGTTGCATCACTGTTGCATCCGTCACGGCATGCCTGCTTCAGCAAGCATGGGCGAGTCTTGAACGTGTGTTGCCCCCTGCAGCACCGGAGACACGCGCTGCGCTGGCCTGATGTGCATTTGGACGGAATTCCATGCTCGGGTCAGCATCCGAATGTGTGCTGTGTGAAAGTCACCGAAGTTGAGGCCCGTGCCAAGAACAGCTTGAGGGCGCTCTGGGCAGACCTCAACCATGGCTTGGCACTGCGGTCACATTTCATGGCAGTCGAGACCATGTGGTGATGAGAAAGCCTCACTGCAACAACAAGCCCGCAGATCTTCTGAATGCCAGGAAAGGCCCAGATCGCTACAGTTCTGGACGGTCGAGACCTTGTGTTGACAGCGGAGGAACATCTAGGCGAAATGAGCAGCACCAGGCCATTCTTCATACAATGTTTGGTTTGTCACTACTCTCAGTCTGGACCTGAGCCTTCGGACTTCACGGAATCCAAGCCACGAAGTATTCTGTCAAGATCGGAGCATGACATGTCATGGGAAATGACTTTCTGAGGTGTTCGTGGCCGCTGGGCCAAGCTGTTGCGTTTCCATTGGCTATCGTTTTTTGCCTTCCAGCTCGCTGATCTGCTACGAGCCACGAGGTCCGGACAGTGCTGGCATTCGTTCCTGAAGGTGCTGTTGAGAGTAGAGAGAGCGTAAGCAGCACATGGAACAAGACACTGTTCCGAACGGTCTGCAAAGGCTCTCGACATCAAGCACAGCTGAGCAAGCGGCCTGGGGTGCTTGTAGCTGCAGCTCTAGTCGCTGGGATTTGCAGAACCGTGGTGCGCGCGTACGTTAGACAAAGGTTGGGTGGCACTTCCCACGGAATGGTGAGGAACTGAGATCAAGTCAATAGCGGCCGGTGGATTTGACATCAGTCCCAAGACTCCAGCCAGGCCTCCATTCTTTCAGCCTACTGCGGCTGCTTGGGCAGGCAGCACGCTTGTCGCCGCCGCAAGCTTACATTCGTCGCGAATCGTGCTGCACCATCCTGAAGCGATAGCAGCGGAAGTAGCAAGTCAGGCTTCCGGTGGTGTCCTGCAAAAGTTCGCAGCTGTGGAAAGCGGGTGGTACCAACCAGCGCGGAGCCGTGCATATCAGAGTTCACTCCCCGATGCACAGGTCCTTGAGGACATTTTGACGCCCAGGTCGGACCCGTACTCACCGTGCCAGGCAACGTGCGAGGTGGGACTGGCAAATGGACACCTCCCACCTGAAAGCTGCACATGCTCTGCAGTGCTTTGCAGTTTTGCAGAGAGGCATGGGGCTGATGGACGAGCATGTTGCCGTCATCAGCGATGAGGCATCTCGATGGCTGTGCATTTGTTGTTACAAATTGTCTAGATACGGTTGAACAGGGTCTGTTCCGCACGGCTGAGCTGAATTCGATCTGCCCTCAGTTGCACGAATTCGGGAGGACGTTTTCGATTGACGGTGGCTCGTGTCATGGAAACACCGCAGGTCTTGGATCAACTCCACTTCTGGAGATGCCTCGGAGGGACCCTTGGGCATGGACCCTGGATATGCATTGTACATGCGAGTTGGATGTTTCGCAAATGCGAAGACGAAAGACGTCGAGGCCTCTTGATGGAGAGCGATGAAGCGGTGGCCGCAGCAGCGCTGCCCGGCACCAAGACTTGTCGGAGGTTCCGTACCAACTCGTAGAGCCTCGGCCTCGAGTGTTTGAGGCTGCCTTCTGCCCCCGCGGGGGTGGAGTTATCTGCTGCCTCGCTGAGCGGCCGGTCGCCCAGATCGCTGGATGGTGCGCACTTTCGCTGACAGTGCAGGTGGGGACCTTCCGGGCACTGCAGCAGTGGCCGTTGCCGGCTCCGACGGACTGCCCAAATCTCGGCCCCAAACTTCTGCAATCTCCTATTGCGCCTTTTGGCTGGTGCTGCCGAGGCTCCGCCTTTGTCGCTTACCATCTGCACCAGGCTGCACAGCTAGGAACTTCCCGTTTCCAAACCTAAAGCGGACTTGGAGTGTTCTTGGCAAGCGGAGGAGAGCCTTTGGAAGTGCTGCTGGAGCTCCCGCTTGGTTTGGGGCAGGTGGGTCCAGCATGGCGCAGCAGAGTTGCACCGCTTGCAAGCACCTGACACCGTAGAGGCTTCCTCAAGCCGGACTTCGAAAGTGAGTCTTCCAGTTGGCACTTGCAAGGAAGTATTCGTATGTCTAGCAATGATGCAGCGAGGGCGATGACGGAGCCCGGAGGGTGTCGGGATTTGGAGTCGCTTGACCCGCTGGCTTCGTTGTTGAGCTTTCCCACTCTGCCCCTTCTGATGCGAACACGTACAGTCATTTCCATGACCCATGGGACCCATTGTTGACGCGTCGTCTGTCGAAGCAGGTTCAGGGTCTGCGACTATGCCGCGCAGCTGCTTGCGGCAGCAATGAGGCCTGAAAAAGCATTGTGAGGTCACGTGTAGACTTTGGCGATGATGGCAAAGACGTACAGTTCGCTCTTGCAAGCTTTGGGCAACCCACCATGTCAGGCCGTCTTGTGGGTTGCCGACTCACAGGGCAGCGCGAGGTCCTCAGAGCTTTGACTGCGGGCGATGTTTCGAGGGCGTTGGACTGTGAGCGTGAGACTGGCGTTTCAGCCTGAGGTACATGCTATCAGCCTTGACTCCGGCAGGGCTCCAAGCTTTGAACAACTGATGTGGAGCTGGAGAAATCCAGAGACCCGCTCACCTGCGTGCATAAGTGCTGGGTCTAGTGAGGTGACATCCGTGCGACCTTCACTGCAGATCTTCCAACAAGAGGCTCGGGCAGCTGCAATTCACATCGACATATCGTTGTCCTCGCGTTGTATCCCTGAGTGGGTGATTCACTATTGATGTATTCCCTGGCCCATGTACACTCCACGAGCCAGTCATGTGACGTATTTGCAAGAAAAGGGTTCGTGAGGAGCGCGTGTCGTTGCTTTGAGTGGCAACAGCTCCCATTTGGCCCTGGACTCGGGGCGACACATGTAGAGATACAGTGAGGGCAGGTTGGAGGTACACGTAAGTTTCACAATGCTTGAGGGCTACGCCAGCGTCCTTTGCCAAGGCTGCTTTGTTGGTGCTTGACAGCCTGGAGCCACAACTGGCCCTTACCTCGAACTTACAGTCACAGGCATCACTCCAGCGCTTGGCATATCAGGTTACAGCACAATACCCCGTGCTTCCTCGTGCATCTGCGGTGGAGTTGTAAGCACCTCCTTGTGAAGGGCACTGGTAAGGAAGGAATGGACGCAGCACAAGGCTGCCCTCAATTGTAGGTATGGTCGTTTGGGTAGTTGGGTATAGGCCGGTAATAGATATAGGCGGTCTGTAACTGTCTTGGAGGAAGTGCACAAGCTGCATCAAACAGGAGCATAGCATGTCTTTAGCATGTAGCTCGCCAACATCGAATTTCAGAAAGCACCTTTTCGGTGGTGTCCATGATTAAATCATGGTTCACTACGATGACAAAGTTACGACGGGTGCATGTCCGATGAGCATCTGTGCTATGACGAAAAGGCCGCACTGTCAGGTGATCTGTCAGTCAGCCCCCACGGACTTTCAGAAGTGTGCGCCAACACTACAAGTGACCTGTCGAAGAAAATCAGCCGTGGGGTTCACGTCGTGCAGGCAGTTTGTTGAGTGTGGCATCTCAATGCCTGAACTTGCAAGACTTCACCTGGCCATCATTTAGCCTCGTTTGCTCTCCATAAAGCAAGGTGCATACAGGATATACGGCTATACGTGTATCATTCAGGTTCAACGTAGTGCTAAGCGTATTCTCAGCCTGTAGCAAGTCGGGAAAGTCCAGGTTCAACGAGTCAACAGTTGCACCGCATGGCCATAGCTGGAAGGCCATGTGCCGTGAGTCAGCTTTTCGGACGAAGCGTCTGCCAGGACTGGCCAGCACATCCCCAACCGGACCGTAAGTGGACCGTGACAATAGCAGATTCTGGACATGTCAGGCAAAGGGCGCGGTGCAGTTGCAGCTGGCACGCTGGGTGCTGGCGAGGCGCTGTTACTCGTAAGAGCCACGTGCCACTTCGACTCACTTCGACTGGGGACGGGCAGTGCCAGACTTTCGAGTGGCAGGTCGTTTTGATAGAGCAGCCTTGGGCAGTGGTGCTTCTGCCAGGGCAACATCAGCGCCGAGCTCCCAGTGACCTATCAGTGATTACAGTGTTACTGTTGTTCCTCTTCTGTGCTAGGCTGTGACTTCGACCTCAGCAATGATGGAAAGCTCCTGCATCTCGCTCAAACGTTAAATACGTAGCACAGCAACCACGGAACGTGCTTGAGAATTGGAGACCTCTGCCCAGCGGGTGGTGACGACGTTGGACACATAGCCGTAAATGTGACTGCGCGCGAGAGTTCATGTCTCCTCTCGCTGCGAAGTGTTTCTTGACCATATTCGAAGTTTTCGCTGCAGACTTTAGACGAGCATGGAGCAGGCAAGTGTAGGACTGGACCGGCAACTGAGAGATGGGAAGAGTATGACAGCTCGACTGGCAGAGCTAGGGACAGGTGCAGCCTGAACCAATGCGATCAAGAAGCGTTTTAGAGGTGTAGGAAACTAGTGAACATAATGTGGTGATGAATCCTGTAACACCAGAATACGTTCTGCTCGAGTTCTGTTGGGGCGGTACTTCTGCTTGAACTAAGACGATGGCCGAGGCGACAGAGCATGAAGTATCTGCACTTACCTGCATGGCCGCAGACACAAGCTAGTGACTGCAATTATTAGGAGTCCGGGCTTCTTGCTCCGCTGGCCTTTTTGTTGCCAGTCTTTGCACAAGGTTGCTTTTGGGTTTTAGTTTCTATGGGCGAAAATGTTTATTTGCAGGGCGGAGGTGGTGCTGGTGGGGGTTGGGGCTGGGCGGGGGTGGAGCAAGCAGCAATGCCTCGATAGCGGCTTTGAGCTGTCCGGACCAAGCCTGGGAAAAAATGCCCCCAAGGCAATGTCAGGCAACCGGATTGCAGTTTGCGTCCAAGGCCGGATGCAATGGGGTTTGGAAATTTTAGCATGTCTGCCAGCGTGCTGCTGACAGGACAATCAGCGCGCAGCTGGAGATCTGTATTACAAGGCCGGACTACGCCTATCTAAGCCTCAGTTGTAACTGTGACAAAAACTGAGACAATGCGCAATGCTGGGCCGGCTAGGCCTGCAGGCATGAAGCATGCGTGTATGATGTTCATATAATACACTGTCTGCCAGCCTGTCTGTATGTATGTAAATGCAGAGAAGAGCCGAAGCCCAGTTCGGGAAACATTGCTCAGTGCCTCCAAACTGTTGAACCACGAGCCTCATCTGGCAAAGCCGCAGTGACAGAGACCAAGTGCGTCGATCTTGCGTCAGGCAGAGTTGAAGGCGGCAGTTTGAGACTCAGTACACTTGGCTGCTGCAGTTTCCTCAGTCCGCTTAGGGCCTAGATTCATGCTGAGACCCCCACGGGAATCGCACTTAGTGCACTGCTTACCTTTCAATGCCGGCCGTTGGCCTGCGTGCCTACAGCACGTCGGAAAAGCAATCTACCCACTGAGTAAGTTTTTGAGGCGGTGGCTTCCGACAGTTCCGGTGGCAGCCTCAAGTAGTAAGTAGTTCAACTGTTCCCAGCTTTGGCTTGTGGGGTCGTTCCTGATGCAGAACTGCCGAACTGGGAGAATGGAGGGTATGTATGTTTGTATGTACGTACATACGTAAGTATGTCTGTATGGTTGTATGTATGCATGCACGTATGTAGGTATGCATGTAGGTATGTATGTATGTACGTATGTATATGCGCATGTATGCACACTCGTTTCATTGTACGCGTGTGTACATTTTTCTATGTACCTATCTATCTATCTATCTATCTATCTATCTATCTATCTATCGATGTATCGGCCTATCTATCTATTTATCTATCTGTCTATCTATTCATCCATTTGTCTATCTATCTCTCTATCTCTCTATCTATCTATCTATCTATCTATCTATCGATCTATCGATCGATCTGTCTATCTATATATTTATTTATCTATTCATCTATTTATCTATCTATCCCTCTATCTATCTATTTGTCCATTTATCTTCTATCTATCTATCTATCTATCTGTCTATCTATCGATCTATCGATCTCTCTCTGTCTCTATCTATTCATGTATCGATTTATCTATTCTTCTATTTATCTATCTATCGATCGATGGTTCTTCGGTCTATTTATCTGTCTATCCCTTTATCTATCTGTTCATCTATCTATCTACCCATCTATCTATCGATCCATCTATCTATCGATCTATCTATCGAACTATCTGTCTATCTATCTATCTATCTATCTATTCGTCTGTCTATCTATTTATCTATTTATTTATCTATCTCTCTCTATCTATCTGTCTGTCTATCTATGTTTCTTTCCTTCTATGCACATCCGGACGCCACGGAGTGGAACAGAGTGCGTGTCGGCTGGCTTCAGAATCGGAGCCGAACAAGTTGCACGTATGGCCACGATGAAGCATGTAGGCTCATTCCGGCTGCGGGAATGGCCGACTACCCTGCGTCTGGCTGTCAGGGTGCGATCAGTGTGAAAGTGGCAGCTGCACATGACAACAACAACTCTCCGGAGCATCTTGCGCACAGGCTCTGCAGCGAGGAGTTTGCCTGGCAAAGCCAAGAAGAATCAACCACCCAAGTAAGCGGCGTCATGCCAGGCAGCTTGCGGCGAGCAACCTTGGTATAGAACTCAGATGCCGTGAGGTCGTTACATCTCACTGAGGCCGTGGTGGTTCGCCTTGCAAGCTGCACCGAGGCTCAGCCTCGAAAGCCACTGGGATGCTGGGCTCCCAGTCGCGAAGCGCATCTGCAGGATGGGTGCACAATGACGGGCGTCATGGGAGACCGAGCCGCGACGTGCTAAGCGAAACCTCGCGATGGCACCCACATGAGAAAAACAACCCTTCGACGGCAGCGACCTGTTTGGCCCTTGGGTCGGGGTGTGCGATCCAGCTCTCGCAACAAGCCCACAAGCTTCCAGCAACACCTCTGTGAGACAGTCTCTCATCTCACGGCCTGATTTTCGCGCCTGAGCGCATAATGCTTTTCGCAGACCGAGCATCACTTCCTGCGCTGTTTGCCTTAGGATCTTTCGGAAGTTCGTCAGAGAGAGCTGGCACAGAATGCTGCGAGATGTGCAGAGCCCAGCTGCGATGCGAGTTTTTTGTCTGAGAGACGCCATTGTGCTCGGCACCAGTCCAGGGTCCAATGTGGTCGCCCTCAAAGCTCATATCTTGGTCCAGATCTCCCCATCCGATCATCTCTGAGGCTTGGACATGATCGCTGCCGGCCTTGGGCTGCTGTCTGACCATGGACACGCTCCTTCGCCTGCTGCCGGAGCCAAAGCTGCCGGCAGACTTTCTCACATCATAAACAGAAGATGCGAAACCCCCGTTTGGATGACCGGATGACCAACCGAGGCACAGCAGGCGTTCCAGGCCATGGCTAACGTCAGCCGGGCTCTTAAACGCTGTCTGCACTTGAGATGCGCTGACAGACGCAAAGCAGATTTACAGTGAGGGGACAAACTGAGAGTCACAGAGCACGTGCTTGGCAGTGCTCGGCAGGTGAGATGCAGGCTCCATGATGTGACTGCTTACCGATGCAGAAGGGCCACACTCCACATGCCATGTATGGGGACGGTCTTGGCCCCACTGGTGGCCGCGGCGCGTTGAGGGGGGGGGTGGAGGCGAGCATGGAAAGCAGGCGCTTCCCCCAACACTGCCGCGAAGCAGCAGCAGCACAGGATCAGCAACACCACTTTCAAGTCAGTGTGCCTTGCTTGAGCAGCAGCTCCATGTTGCGAAGCAGGAGGTGCCATCTGCAGCAGAAGATATTTGTAATTTTGACATACAAACATGGAGGCCCATGCCAGCATTACTATCCACCTTATGTGTCCGAGAATGACTTGGCAGCTCGATTGCTGCCGAGGCAGCGACGGCCGCAGGTTTCATCCGTCAATTGGGGGGAACACCAATCCATGTAACTCCGGGCATACCTTTGGCATAATTTTGTACCCAACGATACCGAGCGTCTGAAGGCTATGGCCTCGCAAAAGTATAGGCCCGAAGCGCTTGGGTCAGAGAAATCTGCTTGCTAAGGTGATATTGCTCATTTTCTCGCTGCCATAGACGTCAATGCCATGGCGGTAACAGATGAGGACGTCTTGCAAAGCTCCGCAAAACACCCCGGCATGTTGGTCTCGATGTGCTGGCTACATACCTGGATGCACATGCACTTGCTGGCTGCAGGAGCAAAGGGAGATCGCGTTGGGCCTGTTTCTTCAAGGCGTGCAGAGCTCAGCTTCAGAAAAGCGTTCTGAGAAAACGGTGTGCTTCTAGTCCCGCGGGCTTAGGCTGTCTTCAACCATAGCGAGGAGAGATTGGGCACTTTCAACCCTTGCATGTACTAGACGCTCCGACAGGAACCCAACTGCATACAAAGCTTTGTGGGGCGCCGGTTGGTGATTCGCACCTTTCGGGCTGTCAACGAGGCACGCTACCGAGGTCGGATGCATGACGGCGTGATCTTGAGCGACACACATCCCTGTGTTTGCAGGGCGAGGAGCTCTGCATCAGCTATGCTGAGCTTGCGGAGATGAGCAAGACCCGTGAGAACCCGAATGGAAGCAGTTGAGGAAGCATCTGGACATGGCACGTGGTCAAACCAGGACACCAGTTCTTGTCGCAGCAGTATCACTTTCGACCAGAGATGGTGCCCCAGGCCAGGATTTGAGTGTCACTCGGATTCGGCTTTACCCTGAGGGCCCTTTCTCTGAGCAGGTGCAAGAGCGTGATGCTGTGCTCAGTGCCATCCTTGTCCCTCCTGCTGTTGCCTCAGCATGTACCCTCCGGGAAGATTAGAAATGCATCTCGGTCAACCTGTAGGAATGGCTCCATGCAGGGCACGGAGTCGGCCCATGGCTTAGGAAACAGACGGCTCCTGTGCACTCTGTGCTGCAGACTCGTCCCCACGATGCATCTGTCAACAACGCGATTCTGCGTCGCATGGATGTGCATGCCGCAACTGTAGGTTGTGGACTCGCACGAAAGCGGTCTCGAATAAGAGAAAGAATGAGCGATGAAGAGTTTGCTTGCGTAGAAACGAGCATGATCAGATCAGTATATTTCCGAGAGCAGCAGCCCGGATCGAGTGCTGGGGAAACGCTTCAACTTAGGCTGCTAGCTCAGTTCTGTGTTTCGTGCCATGGCCGAATGTCTCGTCTGTAGTGGAGAGTCGCAGGTACGAGGCACCCGCAAGCCGCATCATGATGATCTTGGTGCGAGCGTTCAAGTTGTCATCGAAGATCTAGGAATCTAGGTCTGGAATGTCCGAGGTCGTCAAACCGTCACTCAAGACTGACACAGCTGGTTTTGCGCATCACACGGATCACCCGTAACTCTTATTGTACATGCATGTTAGCGCAAGGCACAGATTCTCGACGAAAAAACTCTTCGTCATCTGGCTGTAGCAAGAGCAGCGGTGACCAGTTTCCTGGCATCGTATCACCTTGCGATGTTGTGAAGCAATGTGCGGTGGGGGTCTGGTACACGAATCCGTGGTCTGTTTAGATTTGGGATAGTGTATTGAGCGGGAGGTTAGATAAGAAGCTTCGTGTGCTGGCTATCGTCCCCACGAGACACAAGCCACACGGCAGCCTGACCACTATCTACTGAGCGCAGCAAGGATATGCATGCAGCTATGGCGAGTTAGCCTATTCACCGAACCGCAGCTGCAATGCAACAGGCAGGGTCAGGTCTTCATTGGCTCTTCATTGCGTGCATGCCGCTCTGACTGGCTGGCCAAACTAGGAGAGTCCAGCTCCTCCCGCTAGCTGTTTTCACTTCGACTGCGCTTGAGACCTCGCCTGCATTGTCCGAGTTGTGAGAGTGCAAAACAAAGCCCAACACCTAAGCCCCTGAACCCGAGCTAGTACATGTATCTCGTCGCATCTGTACAATGCAACCATGCGATCGAGGCTACGAGTCTGCTTCGAACATGGTTTTGTTCGGATCGACTCTTGTAGTGCAGACATGTCCGCTCCGGCAGCATTGGAGAGTGCAAAACAAAGGTGTGCTTGTTTGGCGTTTACAGTATGGTTCGTTGGACATGACTCACTTTGGAGTTGGCCCGTGTGGCAAGATTCGCTTGTGGTTTCCGACTCTCACCAACAGCAGCCTCAGGATGGAGCCCGGAGTCGGGAGTTCAGGAGCTGCAGCGTCCACCCTTCAGGAAGCCCAGTCCATCATGACCAGCCCTTGCAGGACCTCGGCAATGCTGCCGCAGCTGCTTTGGTTCAGAAGGCCGTGCGGCCGAAGAAATGCAATACAAGCTTGCAGAAGGAAAGGCAGATTGTCTGCCCTGCTCATGTGGGCACCACCTGCCTTTCGGCACAGGTCAGTGATCTTTGGTCGCAGGCCGTTCCTCCTCTGTTCTGAGAATGGTCGTACACGGTACATCACGGTACACGGCTTGCCAGGCCCAGGCCAAGTCTGCGGGTAGTAACGCTTGTTCCCCGGTCACCATGCACTCCTTTTCTGCAAAGCTGTGTAGAATCAGTAAAGAAAAACCGGCGCGGCTATGCTCGCCGTGCCAGCAGAGCTCACCTTAGTCATAGTCGGTAGCCATCACCTCAGGTTGAGTTGTTACTCCTCGCGTGGAGAATAGCTACATCAGGCGGGATCTTTTGAGGCTACAACCATTCATTGCTGCATGCCTCTTATCCCACATATCCCACATGGCCGCATCAGGCCCTGACTTCCGCTTGGGCGAAGGCCGCGCCATGGTGGTTAGGATGGGCAACTGGGAAATGAGTTCTGTATCGTCAAAACTTCGCGGAGTGCAGGCCACCTGCTTCGATGGACTCTGGCCCGTCTGACTCTCAAGGAGGTGGCTTGAGTGCGCAAGCTGCTTGTACGAGGGGAAGAATGACGAGGTGAGCTGATGGATGCTTTCGTCGCTGCCAAGCAATGGCAAGAAGCCTTGGTGGGGGCCCTGAAGCCTTGCAACTTAGTACGTAAGGGTGGCAGCTACCACAGCGAAACCAGCTACTTCAAAAGAGTTCGATCCAAAGAGGAATCTGATGCGCCGCTTCGCTCGGCCCTGCCTGCCAGGCATTCGCAAGAGCTGTCTCCTCGATTGGCCGCCAAGTGTTGCTCTAAGCCCGCCGTTTCGGTTGACCAGCTGCTGCATCGACGTCTCAGATATTTCCGCTGAACTGGCCAGTGGTTTCTTTGAGCTCCTACCTCAGCTTCGATTAGGCTGCTCACGAGAACAACTGCACATCCTGTGTCCCGCATGCAGGCCTTGCAAGACTTGCGAAGCTGGAGCTATACCATGGAAACTTCGTGTCTCGGTAGACACCTAGAGCCTGGTCAAGTGGACGAAGCCGCAGAGGCAGTGTGTGGGTTTCGAGTTTAAAGAGCATCCTGAGGCCAATGCTTCACGCTGTTGCGAGGATGCGCTCTATGCTGGAGGAGAGTGTCAAATTAAGCGTCAAAAATCCTCATCTATCATTGCGCACCACATCCCCTGATATCCCGCAGCTGTGCAGTGGATGTGCTTCTTCAACCTTACAGGCCAACAGCCTTCGCCATCGGCTGTGTGTTGGGATGACCGCAAGCGGCTGAGCATGCAGAGAATCTGGCAGTCTGCCACGAGAGGGCGAGATCTGGAAGCTCCCTGGGCCTTCCACGTGGGAGAGAGAGAGAGAGAAAGAGAATACGGAACACTTTAAGAGTCTTTTCTGCAACCTGCGGGGAGCAACCTCGCCCTTTCCGTTCAGGTTCTTTGTCTTCAGCAGGTTCTGTGCCTTTGTGGGAGGTTACGGTTTCCTTTCAGGGGCTGAATGGGGAGTTGACGGTTGCCGAGCGTTGCTGTCTACTAATCGGCCCGACTTCATCTGCTACGGGGGAAACCCCCAAGAGAAGAGCTGACTTTGACCTACACTTTTTTCCCCAACAGTTGGTCTGGTTGTCTAGTTTCTGCCTCTTGGAATGCGCAACCTACATTCACGGTTCGCCTTTGCGTCGATGGAGATTGCCGACCCAATACTTCGCTCCCCACCTGTCGGGGGCGCTAACGCGCGTCCCCAAGAACTGGGGGGGCCCTGGTGGCCAGGGGGCTTCAGACGCTCCCTGTGCCCTGAGAGTACGGTTCTTCCCTCACAGCCGGAGAGAGAAAGTGCTGAAGAAGAGTGAGAGTGATCAAAAACAGATCCAAAGAAGAACGTCCAAACGAAAAAGGAGACAGAAGAGACGCAAGAGGCAACATCCGCAGTGAGTCCCAAGGGCCAGCGATCGCCAAAGAACTGCAGCAGGTCTTGGCTCAGGCACCCAATGTAAAGCACCCACTGCACCAAGTCACTAAGTGCCACGTGCCGGTTCTCGTGCTCCCGACCCCATGCCCGACATTGGCAGGCCAATGCTGAGGCTGGGGCGATGCCCAGAGGCAAAGCCCATCTGCACACGGTTGCACATTTCTACGTTGCCGAAAGCGTCCATGCTCCTCATCCTTGCACCCAAAGGTTGTTCCTTCGCTTGCTTGTGCGACCTTCCGCTTCTCAGGGCTCGAGTCATTCTTAGCTACGGCGCAGCTAGCGATGTGAGACGAAACCGTGGTCTTCCTCCGATGACGCACGTGCCGGGTGCTGAGCTTCGCTGCGTTTTAAGCTGATCCTACTATATTCAAAGATTACGATGGGCAGCAGGCGCCGCGGGGGTCGTGTGCCGGTGCCAGGAGTTGAGAGAGCGGCTGCTGGTGTCATGGACATTGCAGTCGAGGAGTTTTGCGATTTTCTCTCCCTGCCACATGACCTCAGCTCGAAGTCTGTCGAGACATTGGCGGTGGAGTCTTTCATTAGCCGAGCATCATGGAATCTAAGGCGGGCGCTACCTGGCTGGATCATCGGTCAGATACGAGTAGGTTCCGAGGAGGACGACTGGTAGATCTGCATTTGTTGGCTTCTCGGCAGCCTTGTTAGGTGAACCGGGTGTGCATTGCAGGAGTGCGCCCTTGCCCCGCCATCAGGACTTGGGGAAAGAGCTTGTTTTGGATAGTGACGACTGGGCACTTGAACCTGATTAACTTTGCAGGAGGGAAGTTCTTCACCGAGAACGGGCTAGCAAAGCTGGGCATCGCTCACCCGCTCCATCGTCGAAGAATACTTCGAGAGCTAGAGTGCTTGAATCAAATTAAACATCCGGAAAGCCTGAAAGCGAAGTCTGGATGCACCTCCCGTCCGACTACTCCATCGGAATGTTCCCAGGCACTGCGAGACTTGCGAGACTTGCAGCAGCTGTGTCTAAAGCGACCGCGGAGGAGTGCGCGAAGGCGTTCCTTTGAGCAGGACATGCGATGGCCTTTTCTATTGATCGAATGTTTTCCACAGAACATCAAGAACACTGGCTCGAAGGCAGCCACGGAGCTTTCAGACCACGCAGCCCGAGGAGAGAATTCACACGCCAGGCGCCGCCAGATGAAGGCGTCTACCATTTTTGGGGCCTCCGACAGCACCGACACGCAAGCAGAGGCGCCGGTGACGGCGCGGTCGACTCAACGCTCTTCTGCAGCAGCTGAGGATCAGCAGGAAGTAGAGAATTACGGTCGTCTGGATGATGCCGAGCATGTTGCGGAAATGGAGGAACCCGAGGAAGTAGAGGAAGAGGAAGAGGACGATGTCATGGGCTGGGAAGCATGGCTTCAGAGCCGCCTGCACTCCTGGGGGATGTTGTCACTGGTGGATGATGTTCTTCATGCTGCCTGCACAGGAAACCTGTCTGTCTGCACAGACATGATGGACAAGGTGGCCATGCACGGAAGTGAGTTTCAGCAGTCTTTGGCCAAAACCCCACTGCCACCGTACATACATGCTGCCCTTGTCCTGCCACCGCATGTGGTTGCTCCAGCCAACATTTGGGATTGGCTGCTTTGGCGCCTTGATCTGTTGGAGGAAGCAGAGTACCGCATCACTACCTTGCTGGGAAAGGCCTCGAACCTGCTCGATTCGATCATGGGCGCCTCTGGCCGCGGCCCCATTCGAACGGACTCGGTGAAGCAAAGCGGAACAGACAGACGCCGAACCGTCAACGTCAAGAAGCTTATGCAAGTGCAGGGGATGCTGACCTTGCACGCACCCGAAACCCCAGCAAGGAGCAACAGCAATCAGCCTTCAAGGAACAGCAGCATTGGCAGCCAGCCCCCAGGAAGAAGCAGCAGCGTGAATAGTAATACTGATGGTGCATCAGAGAAATCTGGCCCGAAGATGTCAGGCTTCCAAAGATTCAAAAAAATTGCGAGTCTGGTTCTCTCCCACGTACGGGCCAAGAAGCAAGACGGCCTGGTCTTGAATACAAAGCTCTTGACATGCATATCAATGCAAACAAAGGTAACGCAGACTCAAGATGAGTTGGCAGCCTTATTAAAGGAGGTGGGTGAATGGCCGCCACTCATCAGTCAGAGCCGCAGCGTTTGTGAAGAGATGAGGGGTCGGCTTCGCGAAGCATCGCAGACCCTTTTCGAGCGTTTCGTGGACCTTCGACAACATATCGAGGTCGAGCTGCGTGAGGTGACTCTCGGTGATCAAGGCATCGTGGACTGTCCGCAGCTCGAAGGCAAGATCATCGACACTCAGCGTGAGCTGTCAAGCTCCTTACTGTTGGGCGACTTTGCATTGCAGAGGGCGGACCAGCTTGGTGTGAGTCTGCGGGCTCAAGGAATTGAACCACCCCCGAACCCTTGGGAAGGGTGTGTTCACCTCGTGGAGCCCCCTTGGGAAGGAAGCTTCCTAAGAGCCTTGAGAAAGCTTGAGCCGCTGAAGCGGAACTTGAATGTTCGCAGGCAGGGAACGACATATGTGGACTCGGTTCTTCATTCAACCTCGGAGAAGAGAAGGACTGACAGGCCAAAAGTGCGTGTTGACATGCAGTATATGCCTGCACTGGCTGCACTGTCCTGTCTTCTCACAGGAGCTTGAAGACTCCATCCAAACAACTGCGGGCAGGATTGTCAACTCCTGAAGATCTGCTCGCGAGACTGAGCGCCAGATAGGCCCCATTTCCTGGCTGCAGCTCCTGCCGCAACTCCGGCGGGTGCTCGTGGGCTGCGTTCTCCTGAATAGCAGGGGATGTGAGGCCAAAACGGCTTCGTGCCCAAAAGGCCACATGTAGCGAACTCGCGCCATGCCGGGCCTTGAGCGCCACTTCACGCCAAGCCTTCACGTGAAGCATACTTGCACCACGGAGCGCCGTATGGTTCAATGCGATCAGCTACCGCAGCAGTGCATGCACACAGCACAACACAACACAGATTACAACTTATAGTCGAGCATAACCAACACGGGGCATTGTGCCAGGGTGAGCTCCTGTCAGGAAGACCTGCCACTGGCGCAGCGGCATGACCGCTGCAGTTGGCGGATCATGATGTGCGGCTCCGCATGGGGCCCCGTGCTTCGCACCACTGCTTCTCGGCTCCAGCAATCAAGGACCAAGAGATTACTTGGATTTTGCCGCTCATTGTAGACGTGTGCGAATGTCTGGTCTGTCAATGATGAACCAGTTCACTGGAACAGGGAGGTGGTCTTGGACATGAGCACATTGACAACTGCAGAGGCTATGGCATGACTGTGCCGGACAGACTGGATGCTGTGGAGCCCTTTCTCAAAGACTTGTTCGAGGCGGGGAGGCACACAATCATGCCTGAGTCTTTGTACAACAGAATCACGAGTGTAGCTGCTGGACTGATGTTTACTGTCAGCTTTTCAGGAGCTGCAGTGCCGATGCGAAGAGGAGAAAATGCAGTATGCAGCCCAGATGCAAAAGTTTGTTTGCCTGTCGAAGCAGGTTGGACGCAAGGTCTTCCAGGTGTTGGACTGAAGCGACGATAGCAGAGAGAGAGAGAGAGTTAGAACCTTTGCGAACCTCGGACAAGCCAGCACTATGACGCAGCTAAGTGGTATCTGATTTTCCTGAGACGTCGTCTGACATCAGTAGACAATGCCTGGATTTTGCACTGACAGATTTTCCGTGGTCGGCAGCTGGTGCTCTTGTTGTGTTGGAGGAGGCACTTGGCTGGGTTTGGAGCTCATCACTTTCCCAAGGTGTTAAATACCCCCCTTGCCAATTAGAACGCATTGCGGAAACTTCACCCGAAAACATCACCGCCGTTGAAGACCTGTTTTGTATTTTGGCGTTGTGCTCGCAAGCTTGTTTTACTATCTGCGCTGCAGCCGATAAGCCATGCTAAGTCCTAGCACAGGCTGTCGGCGATTGGCTTATCGGCTTGTTGGCTGGTTGATGTACATCTCCTCGTTAAATTAAAGAACCCCAGTAGTCATGAATCCCTTGGGGAAGCGGACCCGTTCGATAGCGGGGAGAGGGGGCTCGCTGTTCTGGATGTGGACGGAGTAGGGCGGGAGCGGGGGGCCTTTAGTCTTAGATTTGGACGAAGTATTAGAGGGGATTTAGGAAGACTATGAAAGAGGCTGAACTTGTAGTGCGGGATCCTCGTATTCTAGGATTTAGACGAACTATGAGGGGTTGGGGGGGCTTGTAGTTCTATAAGGGGACGATGGTGCGTAATAGCAGTGCTTTTTGCGTACTTTGTTTTCTTGCTTGTCAGAGAAGCTGTTCAGTTTCATTCATTTGTGTTTAAAAAGAGTTCATGTTGTTCTTCGCTTTCAACCTCCTAAAGCGAGTTCGTGTGACTTTCCCTTCTTGTTTGTCGAGACTCGAGAAGAGGCTTGAAGCGGATAGTCTCGGGGGGGCAAGTGGTAGCAGCAGCAGCAGCAGCAGCAGTTGTTGTTGTTGTTGTTGTTGTTGTTGTCGTCGTCGTCGCAGTAGTCGCAGTATTCGTAGCAGTGGCAGTAGCCGTAGCAGTCGTAGCAGTAGCAGTAGCAGCAGCAGCAGCAGTAGTAGTAGTCTCTTTTCCCGGTTTCTTTTGGCTGTCCTCTCACCTAAATCCAAGACTACCTTTATATAGTCTTCCTAAATCCAAGACCGCAATCCCCCCTACCCCTGTACTTTACCCAAATTCACTACTACCACTCCTTCCCTTCTCTCTTCCTTCCTGGCTCTTCGAAATCCACAACTATAAACCTCCTCCGTCCCTTTACAGTCGTTCCCCCTAGTGCTTTGCCTAAATCCAAGACTACAAGCCCCCCCCCCTCCCTCATATTCCTCAGATTTCTAGCAACATAGGGGCGGGCCGTGCTGTCGAACCGGACTCCGGGGAAGGGGCAAAAAGGGCGATGCTCGCTCGTGGAACATCTGCAGGATGGGCTAGCTTCATAACACTGAGCACTGAACATGGGATAGCGCGTGGGAGTTGCCACAGTTGGCCAGGCGAGTGTGACGTGGCATGTTTGGTCCGGAAAGTTGATCTAGCTGCTTTAAGGACTTGGCGGGACAGAGTCCATCCACGCACAAGGCTAACTTTTGGTTGGCCCACACCGATCCTGAACGAATATCAGGTGAGGCAATTTGTTTGTTGAGTTCGTGGTTTGCTGGACCACGTGGCGTAGACGGCTTGAGCCAATGCCAGGATACATCTTCAAATCGCGATTGTTTCTCCAGGGGTTTGATGACTTCCGCTGCGGAGGCCAAATCTCAAAGGACTTTCATTCGCACTTCGTTCGTACAACTAATTGCCAGTAACTCTCTCGAACACGTGCATGGCCAAGACCCTTGAGGAGCAGCTGCGCTTCGCAGTGCTGGTTCAGCACTTCGTGTCGCAGGATACACTGGATTTTCAACGAACGCGTGCACAAAGAATGCACGACGATGTTTTTGAAGGCCGGATTCAGTTTTGACACGGCTCACGATTCCTGCGATATCCGACGATCCTAGCCTCCGGCCAGGTGTTCTCACGCAAGGCGTCAACTCCCAACTCATGACGGACGCTCACCGGGCAGAGTGGGCTGTGGACGGGGTCGCCTTCGTGTTCTCTGACACAAACGACGAGGCTGCGAGGATCAATGCGAACACGCTATGTAGGGACGATGCCTGTCACAAACTCGGGTGTGCAGGTTCCCAGTTCTGACTTAAGCCTGGGCTTTTGACTGTTCCGTGATTCTGCTGAGAAATGGCGAGCGCACTCTGGCAAGTTTGCATGACAAGTCGCAGTCACAGTGCCGAAGTTTGCGTTTCGGTCTTTTTCGCAGCCTTGTCTGTGTAATTCTGCTGTACATGCGACAAACCTTGCACTTCTTCATGTTAGATGCAGGGGGACAGGGCTCTCTGGTACTTACCCTGTCCAACGAAGCTGGGTATCAGAGAGGGAAGCTCGGACTGATCATCCGAGTGTACCTGCAAGGTTGTTTGTGACCTCCTAATANNCATGGTTCTGTCATGTGATACAGTCGCTGTACAATCAAAACATGTGTCGACTAACGATTATTACAGTATACGTGGACCTCATGCTCAACCAGGCGGGAACGTAATCTGCACCGGCAATGTTGCCATCCAAGCTGTGTCCCATCACAGTCCTTTGCCTGTCGCTGTTCCGGAGTCTCATTCACTCGACAGCGCTGCGGCTCCCTTATCCTGATTGTTTCCTTCCTGCCCCGCCAAGTGCCAATGGGTGTCTGCGGGGTGATGACCTTGTATTTCTTATGGCCCACCTGCACACACAAGAAACCTCAAGTACCGCCTGTTTGTGGTGTTACCTTCTTCCACGAGTAGCAGGAGAGGAAGCAAGCCCTCCTTGATTTTCGGATGGAGCTCGTGCCGTGGCTGATGAGGCTAAGCCAGAAGAAGCAGCTGCCGACATGCACAAAATCGCCCAAGGTTACAGCCCTTGAGCAGTTTCTGATCGACTTCAGCGATCGACGTCAGCTGTCAGAGCACGGTACACTATGCCTCCTTCAGGCGGTCACAACCCAAATGTCGCAACTTGGAGGCAAAAATGCCAACGAGCCGAGGCTCACGAAAAGACACTTCGACTTAGGCAGTGCGGACTGGCCAACCTGGACCGCTGTTCCAGGGCAGGCTGGTTTGTTTTTTCGCATCAGGGTTGGCTTGGCTGCTCTTGTTGGCTGACGGTGGGATTTGCAGGTGAGTATATGGTCGGAGGGGCACGTCTGAAGCAGCACGTGAATTACAACATCTCTTGCAACTTGGTACATTCCAGAATATGTCCCGGCAGTTCCCGGAAGCTAGAATCCAGGTCACATTCGTTTTTCGATGGTTCCTGACATGTTGGAGCTTTTCAGGTTTTGGAGGTCAGGATCGGGCTTGTGGCCTGCGGTTTAAATTCTGGGTTCTTCTGCTATGCACGGGAGCCCAGACTCGTGCCTTCAAACCCTTGCCGGATTGCAAGGGATTGTAAGCGCCCTTCATGTTTTTTTAGAAGAAGATTGAGGGGAATGGAAGGACGGAGCCTTGCATGCCCAACGGCGGCAGACGTGACAGGGGCCTGCAATGGGCAGGAGCGGATGCAGCCAATAATTTGAACCCGTGGAAAGAAAGGAAAGGAGTGAAGGAGGGAGGGTAAGGGTTGCTTGGAAGATACATCAAGCAGTTCTTACGCACGTTCTTGACGAAAACAAGTTCGTTCTGAGTACAGCTTTCGTTCTCAATCTCTTCCTTCGTGCACGACAGCGTCGAGAAGATTGGTACGAGTGTTTAAGACGATTTAAGACGTCAAATGTGTAAACCTTGAGGTATGGACGCTGGCCCCTTGGGGGAGGCCTTGAAGCTAACACTGGGCTGCCTCAAGGAAGGCTTCCAGTTCCTCCAGCGGACAGTACGAACTCACATCGAGGATGGTGCTGGCGACGACATGTCCACACAAGGTGCATTGATGCAGTGGGAGGAGGGTAATTAAACTCGTGTAGAACGCAGGCTCTCTTGTTGTGTTTACCTTTCTCCGATGAGAGTTCCGTTCTGGCTCAGTGCAAATCACTCGTTCGTGCGATTGAGACCCCGCTCGGTGATCAGGTTGCGACCCGTCGTCACGGATGTACCAGTGTGCGACGCTGAGGTTCACGACCAAGCCGGGCCTGGAAGCTTCACTGTTTAGAGTGTTAAGCTTGTTGAGCCTTGTAGCTGCTCTGACAAGCGAGAAGATGGTTCCATGTCTGGAGCGCATCCTAAGGAATCGCCGCACGGCCAAGACGAGATCCTATGTGACGTTTTAGACGTCTACGACGAAGTATTCATCAAAGAGACTTAACGAGTGGTGCTGGGACACCAAAAATTGCATCTGCGCGCGGCTAGATTACGTGCAAGATTCCTTGCGCAGAGCACGCAGATGCAACAGAGCAAAGCTGACATAAGCTGCTGCATGTGAGTACGCAGGCACTGCGACGCATGGGGACAAGGCCATCAGAGAAGCTGCGAGGGTTTCTCATCCTGAACCAAACTCGCTGGACCTGGATTTGGACGGAATGGATTGAAAAGCCTATTGAATTATATCGAGATAGATTAATAAAAGAAGATCCTTCTCTTCTTCTTCCTATATCTCTCTCATCAATAAGATGACGCACGTCATTCATTTTAAATAAATAAATAAATTCATAAATCTTCTCTTGCTATAAATTTTATATATAGATTTATTGATATAAAAGATTCCTTCTATAATCCGATTTGAATGGAATAGATCAGGATCTTGCTTGATTGAAAAAAATTTGAAAGTATTCATATTTATAATATTTCTCTATATGAGAAATATAAAAAATAATTTTATAAGATCTATTATTTATAGGAACCTATTTTGATATATAAATAAAAATATCATTTATAAGGATATGAAATATTTATATAGAAAATGATATATATATATATATGAAGATATATATCTATTTTCTCGTATAAATATAGGAATTATTGCTATATATCTCAGAATTCTAATCTTCGTAGTCATTATAAGAATGTCATAGATTTAGAGAGATATAATTATATATCTCAAAATAATAAAGATTTCTTGAAAAAATATTTAGAAATAGAAATCTTTTCAAAAAATTCTGATAAATGAATAATGAAATGGAGATCATATAAGATCATATAGAAGATTGGATTATAAAGATTTGAATTTTAGATTATAGATTACGAATAATAATCGAAATTAAAAGAATTTATTATAAATAATAGAGTACGAATATATATATATATACATTAATTTCTTCCAAGAATTACCACGAGATGCCGCGATAGTTCTACTAATCCTCCTATATTTAGACTTCTGGTATATACTCCCGGCTTAGTCTTGGATTTTGAACTCTTAGAAGATAGTATATATATATATCGATAGTTATCTTTATTCTCAATTTTTGCAATCCTCTACACAGATATTCTGAGTATTAATTTATTTAATAATAAGAATCTATCTGAATATCCGAAATTCAATATAAAATATTAATATTAACTCCCAAGAGAGCCTTCGCTATAATCTCAGATCAAAGTCAGTTACTACATATGGGCGTCCATGAGCACTGACTAATTTCAATTCCTAAATAATAATATCTCGAAATTAATCCTGCCATTAGATCTTATATTGGCCCCCTAATGGTGCCAGTAACCTTCTAATTTATATTCATCAAAAAAGGATACCTAATAGAGTTATATCTCAATTCATATAGATTAAGATGCTATATCGGCTTCTAATTTAATTCCTATATCGACCTAAAGGATAATATAATATCATATATTAGCCTGTGGACCTCCTGATAGCAAGGATATCTCAATCCCCCAAAAT